CTAACACACACACACACACACACACACACACACACACACACACTCACTCACACACACTCACACACACCCTCTATCAAGCTTCTATGAATTCTCTTTCATCCCTTTTATGGCTAGGTACTTGTGGTACTCACTGGCTCAGTCCCTTACCTTCTATCCCCTCCTCAGCCCTCCACATCTGGCTGCCCACCTCCCATGGCCCTGCAATGGTTCTGCACAAGATCAGTGAGGACTCACTGGCTCATTGCTGAGCCTGCGGATAATATTTCAGTCTTCATCTGCCACAGACCACTTCCTCCCACCTGAAACCTGTTTGCTTTACATCCTCTTCTTTCCTAGTTAGCTTCTTCCCTCTCCAACTACTCCTTAAAATCCTCCAGGACTCACCTTTCACTGCCTACTCTTTTACTGGGAGCCATGGTCCTCTCTCTGTCCTGGCCCTCTGCTCATCCCACCTTCCCACTCTTCCTGGAGAGTTAGTCCCTCAGCTGCAGCCAAAAGTGAGCATCCAGCCTTCTCTTCTGACCCCTCCTGTCTCCTGGATTCCCTCCCCCTCTTCCCCACTCGAATTGTCTCATGAAAATCTTTTGATCTGTGTGAGAAACAACCCTCAGCACCTCCCAGCCCCTCTCACACCCCTGAGCCTCCTCCCAGTAAAGAATCTCAATGTCCACCCGTCCAGCCTTGGGTGTCTTCTTCCTTCCCTTGCTTTCCTGTAACCTCTGCTCCACCCTCAATAAGTCTATTTATCCAACCTCAGTTATGGCTCTGGGAACTGCCCCACCCCTCCTTCTACTCCCTACCTTCATGGCTTCTGCCCCAGCTCAGGGCTTGTCTTCCCTGTTGTGAGCTGGCCTTGAGATGAGTTAAGGCCGTGGGACCCAAGGCCACGATCAGAGCATGTTTGTAGTATGCAGTAAATAATGGCTGTACACATGTGTTAATTATATAAGATTTATAACAAAGAAAATAGAAGTACGTATGTGCTAGAGATATTCTGTAAGCCTAATGAACAAAGAAATTCACATTGCGCATGTGCTGGCAGAGAACAGGTTAAAAAAAAGCAGGACAGGTGCATCACAGGCACGGGCACCACCCTATGGCAATAGAATAAAGTGTTGTTAACCCCATGGTGTCTCCTGCTGAAGTCTGTTCGGAGGTATGGCAACTCCTCGTGCATTTTTTCATTTGGGCCGCTCACCTTCTAGACCCCCACATCAGCCCACATCGGCTGACACCTGTCCACAGCCTCCTCTTTTGCTTCCAGGGCTCTAGTCTTGTCCTTTTCAGTCCAATGCCCAGTTTCCCAGTAGGCTCTTTCAGTGCCCAAGCTGATCCTGTCCCTCCCCTGCTCAAAGCCCTTCAGTGGCTCCCACTGCCTTTCATTTATAGTCCAAATTGCACCCAAGACCCTTCAGGTTCTGCTGTTGACTACTCCAGGCCCCTCAGACCACTCCCCATTTTGCACCTGAACTTCTGACTAGGCAGAAGCCTTGACCTCTGCGCGTTGGCTCTATCTTGCATGTTTCCTCTGCTTAGCAAACTTGTACTCATCCTTGGATCACCTCCTCTGTGAAGCCTTCCCTGACTACCACAGATGAAGCCCATAGAGACTGTGACAACCTGTGTCTAAGTCTCTCCCTACATCCTCCCTGAGTCCAGGGTCAGAGACTCCTTGAAACCTAGCCTGGATAGAAATCTCTGCTCCATACCCAAGGCCTGCAAAGGATGAGGGTCTGAGTGACTGTCACAGCTGGGCAGAGCTTGGGTTCCAGTATTTTTGGGTGACCAATTTGTTTCTGGTTTCCTGTTAGCTTTGCTTCAATTCTCTAGGGAGTTGGGGCTTTGTTTTCCTGGTGGGTGCTATGGCTGGGTTTGTAGAGGAGAGTCGCTGAGAAGCCAGGGTCCACTGGCAGTCTACCTGGATTCAGTCTGAGGGGCAGATGGGTCTGTGTTAGTGCGGGGGGATCCTGGCCTTCCACACTTAAGAATCCAGATCCACAGACCCTTCCTTCCTCAGTACCCAGACGTTGTTCCCAAAGCCTTCTGCTGTCCAGTGATAGGTTTCTCGGTTTTCGACGCTGCCCCCTAGTGGGCGAACCCTCCCACCCTATTTTCAAGAGGCCAAACTAATTAAATAGTTTTATTTACAAAAAAAAGAAAACCAACAAAGAAAAAAACCGAAATCAAACCGACCTGCTAGGTAGGGCCAGGCCCCGCCCCGGCGGCGGTCGCAGCAACGTAAGGCAGTGGTGGAGTGCAGGTCCAGCTGTCTCGGAGACTGGTTTGTGCGCGCCCCCCTCTCCCAATCCAAGGTTTTAGCTTTCGGGATGGGGGGACGCCCCCCACCCTGCCGTACCCTCGACTTAAGGCACAGCTTATCCCCCACCCCCGGCCGGCCCAAGGGAGGGGCGGCATGGGCCAGGAGCCCCTAGCTGGGGTCCCCGCCACCCTTCCCGAGGCGCATGGACCACGGAGCCCTGTGCAGATGGGTACAAGAGGCCTTTAGTGTCGCCCCCCGCACCCTCCCTCTCCCCGCGTGGCCCAGCTCGGTCCCGTGGCTCAGACCGGCGGCGTGGTGGGCGCAGAGGGGCCCGGCGGATTGAGGACCAGGCGGATGCGCTCCACGCAGAGGGCCGCGGCCTGCCGCGTCTCCCGGCACAGCGCCGCCAAGCTCAGGAAGCCGTGCGGCAGGTCCTCCACCACGTGCAGCGTCACGGGCTGGCCCAGGCTGCGCAGCCGGCGCGCGAACATGACCGAGTCGTCCAGCATGGGGTCCAGCGCGCACGCCTGCGGGCGGCGGGGGATGGGGCACCAGGGGGCAGGGTAAATGAACGCAGGGAGGGAGAAATATGTGGACATAGGGATGGATAAAGGCAGGAGACACGGAGGTGGGAAGGGGAGAGAGTTGGGCAATGAGTTTGGCCTCTGCCTAGCTTCTCCCTTCCCGCAGAGACCTCTCCCTCTTTACCCCTTCCCCGACTGTCCAAGCCCAGCGGCGCGTCACTGACCCTTGGTACTCAACAAGACTGCAAAACAAAACGGCAGCTCTGACTCCCTTAATCCACTGTTGCCAGGCATCCCCTGCTAGTGGCACACCTCCCCCTTCAGTTGGGCTTTCTCCCTCTTGCCCTGCTCTGCTCCGGGAGCTCCGTTCCCCAGGTGCACCAGCACCCCGCCCTCCCCGCTCCTTGCCAGGTACACCTTCCCTGCCTGACACTCACCACGATGTGCACGGGTGGGAGGGTCTGCAGCATGCTGTCAGGTGCCAGCAGCGGTGACATGAAGGGATTCTTGACAATGGGCAACGAGTAGAGGGGCATCCGAATGGAGCCCTGGCTGGAGCGCCTTGGGTGGAAACCCTCAGGGAAGGCAGAGCCTACACTGCAGACTCTGTCCTTGGTACTCAGCTCTCTGGGCTCATCTCTGGCCTCAGCCTCTTCAGGTGCATCCTCAGGCCCAAGTAAGAAGTTGACGGCTGAGGGTGTGGAGGGGCCAAGTGTCTCCGCTGACAGTGACAGCTCTGGGGTGTCCGCTGTCTCAGAGCTGCCCCTTAGGCTCAGGTCATGCAACGTCAGGCTCTTGAGAGAGTCCATTCCCAGTAGGCCCTCAGGCTGGGCCAGTGCTGCTTCAGACACACTGCGCCGCATTGGTTCTGCCAGAGAAGCAGGGTCAGGGGGCATCCAGGGCACAGAAGAGCCTGGCTCTGGTGTTTGGGTATGTGGTTGGCTGTCAGGGAAGGTCATGGGAAGAGCAGTGGCCAGTGGAGGAGTTGCATCCTAGGGCTGTGGAGGCCTAGATTGTTCCCCCAGACTCCTTTCCTGGGGATGCATGTTCCAGGCTGCAACTCCAAGGGGGAGGTGGAAGGAGTCACATGTCTTGGAGGTGGAGTTGTGTCCTAATGGAGGGATATGTGTGGTGACTGGCAAGGTTAAGTGCAAGTCACTTTACCTCTGGGAGCCTGTTTCCTCTTGTGTACACAGGGGATAAAATAGTACTTACCTCATAGGAGGTGGGGAGGACTCAGAATAAGATTTGGGTTTAGGTACTACTACCCCAGGGAGGTCATAATATATCAGCATTAATGTTTTATTACCAGGCGCCTCCCTGGCCCCAGCACGAGGCCCAGTCAACTTTTTATGGCTGCTTGAGAGAGGATGTGAATGGATCAAAGTAAAGTAGTGAGCAGGCCCACATGGCTTGAAAGGAGGCTCTGTTCATAGGGAGCAAAAAAGATTCTTGAGGACATGTCAGATTCCCAGAGGTCCCACACCTGGAGATAGATCTGCTCCTAAAAGTTCCTTTGTGTTCTTCAGTTTTTCCCTTTCCTTTGAAAGACCAGACAAGCAAGTGCACAAATGATACTAAAGATGTGCTTTCAGCCTGCCTCACCACCACTTTTATCAGACCCATGCTGCTTACTACTAGAGCCAGGACCTTACATTTTTCAGTGTTTTTCACTTGTCTTTATAAATCCATGAAGGCAAAATGCAAGACAATATGAGAATAGCTGCACAGGTGCTCTGTGCCCCAGAGGGTGCCTGGAACAGAACTGTTAGTTAAAATCACAGGGCATAGCCAGTCAGGGGGCTGGCATCTCCTAAGAGCACCTACTGTGTGCCAGGTATTGTGCTGGGTGCTTAGCACAAACAGGTGTGTGCAGTCCTTAAAACAACCTTATGAGGCAGGGATTCTTATTGTACCTATTTCACAGAGGAGCAAAGCAACGCTCACAGATACCGGGAATTGCCCGCATCAGCCAGCAACCAGCCAGTACCTGGTACAGTAGGGAGCTAGACTGGCGTGTGTGCCTCCAGGGTCTGCTCCTGTCACCTTTCTCCTACAGGGAAACCCCCAGTGCCCAATGGTCCACGTGCCTAATATTCAAATCCCTTTTAATTGTTTTGGGGTGTATTTATTTGCATCCATTTGAATATCCAAAAATTAAAAACTGAATTTAAAACACACTCAATTGGAATAATTTTCTGAATAATAGGAACTCTATTTACTTTTGAATGTGCAGTTCCTATTACCCAGAAAATACTGTTGATTTGCTAGAGACATGAAATGAGTTGGCTGTGCTTTAAAAATCCTTAAAATATTAGAAAACAGTGGGGATAAAAATAGATCCCTGGATAGAAAGTGATGATTGGCTGCCTGAGGGTTCTCCCTCTCACTCAGGGCTGGGAATCTCCTCCACTTCTGGGGTCTGTCCAGTCTTCTGAGCTCCCATCCTAGGCTCCTAGGCCAGCCCCTGCAGGAGTTATTTCCCATTTCCTCAGTTAAAAGTGTGGGAAGAATATGGGAGGGCTGGGCTCCCATCTGAGGGACCAAAGGTTTTAATGGCATTATTGAGACTGAAAATCAGGACATGTGGTAGGCCCTGAGTCACTTCCCAGGGTGCCTTTCTGGGAGAGGCTGTTTGGAAAGCTGAATCTTATAGTTCCTGGGATTCTGAGCTGACCCAGGAGACCAGAAGTCCTAGAATGTCTAGGATGTGGCTTATTGTGGAAAATCAGGGCTTTGTGGTAGGGACCTGGAACAGATATGGGGCAAAGCCAAGAGGGTGCTCTCTGCTTCCCTGAGGTTCCAGGGCCCAGCGCTTCTCTTTCCCCAGGGCTTTTGAGGTACCAGGCTGCCCCTCCTGGTCACCGTGGATGGGCGTGTGAGGAAAGGGCTTCACTCACCTGCCACGGGCACCGAGTTTGGGTGGGACTTGTGCCTGCTCAGCTCCAGGAAGGAGTTAAGCCATGAAGAGGCGCCCAGGCGGAGGTCTCGGAAGAGCAGGGCTGTGTCCCGCCGCACCAGCCCCATCATGCCCAGTGCCTTCTGGTCTGAGTCGGAGTGGTCCTCTGTCTCCCCACCTGTCAGTGTATGTGGGGGGCTGAGTTGGTCTTTTCCCTTTCTGGGTCCAGTCTCAACATCCAGAACCTTAGGCATCTGTGTCCCCAGGGACCTAAGGACCTCTGATTGCTTCAGTAGGAACAAGAAGATGACTCCTTCATACTCAAGGAGACCACTGGTCTCTAGCCCTTGTCCCCGAAAGACCCAGGCATCCAAGCACCCCCACGCCCCCAGGTTTGTGGGTGTGGGACTAACCAGCATAGGCGCTGACACACTTGGAGAGCACGCTGAGGGGCAGCAGGGGGTCCATGAGGCTTAGGAGGCGGGAGGGAGAGGCGGCAGACTGCAGCATTGTGGCTGGGTAGGCTGCCATGATGCCATCTGGGACCCGTACTCCATAGGCGGCTGCCCGAAGGGACACAGTGAAGCAGAGGTTTCCGCCAGCACTGTCTCCTGCGAGGCATATCCGCTCACCTGTTGAGCCTGGTTTGGATGGGGGCTCGGTCAAGCCTGGCAGGGAGGAACTGGAGCTTTGCATCAGAAGCACTGGGTTCTCAGAGGTTGGGTGTGAGGGGCCCAATCCCAGGGTCTAGCCAACTGCAATTTTAAAGACTGGTAAACTGAGGCAGAGATTTGGACCCATTTGAGGTTTAGTGGTCAGAGGATTGGGCAGGCTTAGGACATTGAGAGCCCTGGAGATCAGGAAGCTCTGGGGAAGCTTGGGAGGCTGGAGATCAGAAGCAAGGAGGATGGGAGGCAGGGGAGGGGAGGCCAAGGGCCCATTTCAGGAGGGAGAAGCATTGAGGCCAGAAGATGGAAGCCAGGGTTCAGGCTGACAGCAATGGAAGGGCCACGTGCTCTGTGCCCTGAGGCATGGCCTCATCCTGCTCTGTGCCTCCAAAATGTTGGAAGAGGGAAGTCAGAGAGGCTGGAAGAAAAGGCTGGAGCAAGGCCAGGTGGCTGGCAGTGCAGGACAACAGTGGGTAGAAAAACGGGAGGAGGGAAGAAAAGGTCAGAGGACATGGGGAGGTTGGGGGATGGAGTGTCAGGGCTGGAGTCGGGGAGCAGGAGGCAGGAGGAAGAACTGGTTGAGATGGAAGGGGGGAGCACTGGGGCACTGTGGGCAGCATGGAGGCAGGATGGAGGTGTGGGTGGGGGACAAGCAGGGGTGAACGTGTAGCAGAGGGCTCGGTGTTAGGAAATGGAAGGGGAGGCAGGCTGTGCAGGCCTGAGGCTTGAGCAACTAGTTGGCTCGTTCCTCCTACACAACAGGGTGGGGGCTGAAGCAGGCTGGGGTAGGACCAGGGAGCAGGTAGCAGTGAGGGGTGTGGGCTCACCGAGGAGGGCACAGTGCTTGACGGCCCAGCAGTAGGCGTAGAAGCACTCCTCCAGCGCACGGGGGAAGGGGGCCTCGGGGGCCAGGGAGTAGTCGATGGAGAGGATGGGAGTCCCCAGCTCCTGGGCCCAGCTCTTGAGGTAAGGCTCATGGGATTTGGAGGTCTGGGCCACGAAGCCGCCGCCGTGGATGTGCACTACCAGGGACCTTGAGCGGGGTGCTTGCTGGGGGCGTGGCCGCAGCTCCAGGCTCCTGGGGCCCTCGGACCTCACCAGGCTGCTGAGCTCCTCACTGTCCTGGGGATGAGGAAGGAGGAGGTGGGTGAGGTGCGGGCGGCAGACACACAGGAAGCGGGGCAGGTGTGAGCAGTGAGGCAGGCGGACATGTGGGGAAGGTGCCTCCATGCCCTCAGCTCTGTACTTGTTCTGGCTGGGGCAGGGGCCCTACCTGTCCTTCACGCAGGTCATAGGAGATGAGCCTGACGAGGACGGGCCCAGGGCCTGTGTGGGCCAGTGGGGGTGAGATGGTGACCATGAGCTTGGGGTCAGCAGTCAGCGGCATTTCAAAGGCCTTGGGAGGCAGGCTGAGCAGGCGGCTTACCCTCACGGTGGCTGATGCCATGTTTGCTAGAGACTGGTGGGAGGGAACAGAAAGGGTGCTGGGAGGAGCTGCTGGCAGGGGTTCCCCTCATGCCATCCCTCGGAACTCCAGTCTTTTCCCTCCTGTGCTGTCCCTGGGCCTGGAACACTGCAGAGGCCTGAGATGTGTCTCTGGGCCTCAGTATCCCCATCTTGTACCAGGTTGGAGCCCTCAATGCACTCCACGCTCACCGATAGCACCTCGATCTCAGTGATATTCCAGAAGGCTTTCCAGAAGTGCACATCCAGGTTCTGTATGATCCGCTCAAACTCAGCCCCACGCAGCTCTGGGTCAATGGCAAAGCGGCCGCTGGTGAAGAGGGAGCTGGCTGTCACACCTAAGGATCAAGAAGGGTGTCAGGGAGCTCCTGGCAGCCTTGCTGGGGCAGTGGTGCAGAGTAGGGGCAGGAGACGAGGGGAGGCTGCTGGCAGGGCCCTGCAGGGACTCACCGAGGCCCGTTTCATTGCGTTTGTAGTGCTCCCCGAAGGACACCAGCCCGATGGAGATGGTCTGCAGGAATGGCCGGATGGCGGGTGTGAACTGTGGAGAGATGCCGCCAAGTCAGGGACCAGGGGCAGCAGGCAGGAGTGAGGGGCAGCGGCATGAGGTTGGGGGGGAGATGTGGTCCTTCAGCAAACGATTAGTGAATTCCCACTGTGTGCCAGGCACTGTTTTAGGCACCTTCATCGAGCTGATGTCAAAAAGACAGACAATACTCAAATAAAGACGTGCCATGTAATGTCAAGGAATGATGAATGTTTGAAAAGATGGTAGATGGAGGGGACAGAGTGATGACATGGTTCTCCGGGGGAGCTTTAGGAGGGATCGGAATGAAGGGAGGGAAGGCTGTTCCCTGTAGAGGGCACAACACCTGCAAAGGCTCTGAGGTGGGTCTGTGCTCGGTGTGGATGACGCATGGCTGGAGCAGAGTGAGCCAGCGGAGAGGGGCAAAGGGTGAGGTCAGAGAAGCAAAGGGGCTCATGTGAGGCCTGAGGATTTGGATTTATTCTAGATGTGGATGGAGTCACAGAGGGTGTGAGCTGGGAGAAGGATGATGCAGGGGTTCCTGACACTCAGCAAGGACAGAGATGAGGTGAGGCAGGAAGTGGGGGCCAATTAAGGGGTGGTAGGAAAACAGAAATGGGATGGTCGGAGACAGGGCCAGAGATCTTGAGGCAGAAAGACAGTCAAATGGTGGGGAGACCCAGCATCTGAGAGAGGAGTCAGGCAGCTAAGAAAAGACAATAGTGAGACCAGATCAGAGAAAAAAAGCCACAGGAGGCTGGGCAAGGGGCCAGCGGGGTTCTTCTGTTCAACAAATACTGGCCTAGGTCCTACTGCAGGCTAGGCACTGGGTTGGAGCAGGAGCTGAGCAAGACCTAGACAGAAGCCTCTGTCCTCTGGGGCTGACATTTTACGGGGGGAGGCTGTCCTGCAACATGGCATAGCTGGGCCCTCAGAGAATAGCTGTCAGGCATGGCCCTGCCCCTGGCCGGGGGCCCAGTGGGCCAGAGAGCACAGTGGTGCTGGCCCTTGGGGCTGGCATGCTGGCTTGGGTGGCCCCAGGATCTCACTCTTGAGCTTCCAAGGCACGGCCAGAACGCAGGGAGGAGCAGGCTGGCCCAGCTCAGCTGATCAATATTTGTGGATTCAGCTTAGGTGAAGGGAAGTTCCCAGAAACACACAGGCTGGGTTGGTGAGGACAGACTGCTCCGCAAGAAAGCAGAGAAAATTGAGGTGGGATGGAGTCTGAGAGACTGCCCAGCTCAGGTGTCACTGAGGTGGGCAGAGGCCCAGAGAGGGCCTGAAGGGATATAGGGTCACACAGCTCCAGATGCTCCTGCTGCGGTTCCCAGATGTGTCTGGCGTCTGGTGGACCCAACACTGACCCCAGACAGGGGCAAGGTGAACCTTGGCTCTGAGCCGGGTGCCCCAAGGGCCCCCAAATTCTCTGGGTCCTCAAACTACTTTTCCTGTGAGTCTGAAGGCCTCTTCTCAGTGCTGATCTGAGCTGTGTCTCCCTGAGGGTGGTCTGGGGTGGGCAGAGGAGAGAAGGCCTGCAGCTGGGAGTCAGGGCCCTGGTTCATGGAGGAGAGGGGCCACAACCACGTCTTCCTCCCTGTCACTAACTTGGATATGTTCCCTGGCTCTCCCTCAGCCTGAAAGTCTGAATTCTGCAATACTTTAGTTGAATTGATTTGCCCAGGCTGGCCTGGGTCCAGGTGAGCAGCCAGGTGCCCCCTCCCCTTAAACCTCTGTAAAATGGGGCTAGCACCCTTCTTCTCTGCCTGCCAGGCCTTCTGTGGGGATGACTAAATGGGGCATGTTCTTACAAACAGGCCTTAAGAACAAAACAATACTGGCTGTCCTCCTAGAGGTTCTCAAATGAATTCAAGGGCTAGACACAGGTCACATAGAAGAATGAATGAATCTCCTGAGTTTACGACTATAGAGAGCAGTGAGGATGCCGGTGCAAGAAGCTATGCAAGTTAAAGATTCCTCTCTGCATGGTGGGTTTGGCCAAGGGGCCACAAATTTGAGACCCTCTGTGCAAGTGCTGTCTGAGTCCCGACAGCTTCCCCTTCCTGCATCTGTTTGCTGAATACAGTAACACAGACCATAGTAATTACTCTACTATACTATTGGGCCAGGTTGGGGCCCACCAGGTGCCTTCACTGTGGGCCCAGAGGGACAGGGCAGGGGGCTCACCTGGAAGCCCAGACAGCGGCCGTAGAAACAGCCCTTGTGCAGAGTGACGTACTCACGCAGGAAGTCGGCTGTGACCCCCTCGTCGCCCTCAAAGAAGAGCCTCCCGGGCCGGTTGGTGGCCAGCAGGTGCTGGGCGTAGTAGGCCAGAGCACGGAGCTGGGTGAGAGCAGCCAGGTAGGCCTCGAGCTCGGCCAGGTTGTGGCTGGCGCGGAAGAAGATGCTGCGGCGGTTGGAGGCCACGTAGCGTGATTTGTGCAGCAGGTGCACCAGGCAGCAGCGGGCCGTGTGTACCAGGCTGCGGTACCCATTGGCCGGCGTCTCTGCGTCCAGGTCAAAGAGGTGTGCCACGCTCAGCAGGTGGCCCAGGGCCGGCTCCAGCCCCAGTGCTTGTTCCCGAACACCCGCAAAGACGCCTGACAGCCGCCGTGCTGTCTCCCCAGGGCCTTGGCTGGAGAAGAAGGCCATGTTGTCCTCTGCCAGGGTCACCAGTGACTGTGTCATTGTGCGCAGGTCCATGCTGTGTGTGAGCCGCGAGGCTGCAGGCAGGTCGGGAGGCACGTTAAGGCAGGGCTGGATCACCCCTTGCTCAGCTGGGCCCTGGGGTCCAAGCTGTACCCTCCTCCTCCCTCAGACCCACACATCAGACCACAGTCTCCTCCTTCAGACCCAAGGATGGAGTCTCTGGCCTAAGCCTATTCCTTCCTTGGGACCCACGAATCCAGGTACCTGGACTCTTTCTCCCTCAAGAGCTGAGTTTGATCCCTCAAACCTCGCCCTCCTGACCCAGGAGTCCAGGCCCCAGAACCCTCTTCTTTAGGCTCTAGGAGTCCCTGTTCCCTTGCTCCAGCATCTATCCTACAGCCCAGGAGTCTATGTAGCCCTGTTTCTCCTTCCAGGGACCCAAGTTCAGGCATCTGTCTCCATTTATTTTTCTGAGCTCTGAACTCCTAGGTTCTGAGCAGTCTGGATCCCCAGATGGTCCCTTCTCTTAGGACCAGGAGATCAGGCCCCCATCTCACCTCCTTCTCAGGCCCCAGATGTTGCCCACAGGCCCTTGCCCTCTGCAGTATTTGGGAGAGTTCAACCCTCAACCCACCCATTCCCATTCACTGGGTGGCGTTCCAGGTCCCTGGTCCCAAGCCCGGTTTTCTTACTGAACCCAGGAGTTCATAATTCTAGCCTTACTATAAGTGAGGAGTCACTCCTGCCCCTTCCCAGTCCCTCCAGTTTAGCTGTGGAATCCCTTCCAACTCCTTCCCTCTTCCTCTGTGGGTGCTCCTAAACTCAGTCCCACTCTTCCCCCAGCTGGGTTCCCTGGCCTTCAGGCCTATCTACTTGGCTTAGCTTGCAAGGACCAGCTCCTTGCCTAGAAATGATATTCCTCCCTGCTGTTAACCTTGAGCTCGCTCTGCGGTAGACCATATGCTAAGAGCTTTCTGTGCGTTTGCTCATTTAGTCCTCACTAACCCTCTGAGACCCAGACTGCTTCGGTTCATGATTCATCTATTATTAGGAGCTTTCCTATTACTCAAGAGAGGAAAACTGAGGCCGAGAGGTGTTAAGTAAGGAGCTGAAGGTTGCATTAAAAGCGGCAGAGCAGAAGTCAGACCCAGATCTCTGGGTCCAGAGCTGTTACTTTTGCTGGTCTTGTTCCAGGGCCCTGGAGGCTAGGCCTCTAGCTCTGGCCTTTAAAAAGTTGCCCTGGACCAGAACTGACTCCCCACACTTCAGGGTCCCTGGTGATCTTCCCTCCGGGATCCCTGTCCTGTCACCACCAAGTTCTGCACAAGCTGCTCTTGCTACTTCGGTGGGGGTGTTGCCCTCTGTTTCCCCTCTGAAGCCCACCCAGCCCCTTGCTAGGCTCCCAAGTCAATGGTCCCCTGATCCTTCAGAAAAAAGTGTCTCTTATTCCAGGCCCTGGAGCTTGGCAGTGGCTATTCCTGTCTGTCAGCTAGCCGTGAACTCACCCACCCCAGGCCTCTTCAGAGCTGGGACTGAGGATTGTGGCTAGTGCCAGTTGCAGCCTGGGTCCATAACCCTAGGGAGGGGCCCAGCCAGCCCAGGGTGTGGCCACCAGCTCCTCCTCCCACCCAGAAAGGACAGAGAGAACCACGTGCTGTAAACAGAGCATGCGGCCCAACTCACTGCCCCCTCCGCCTGCTCCCTGTCATTGTCCCAGCCTCCTCTGCCTTTGAACTCTGGAGTTTTGGCCCCCAAGACCGTCCTCCCTCAGTTCCAGGAGTCCAGACCCCTAGTCCCCTCAACAGTTAGAAACTGAGGCATCCGGTCTCCCTGTCCCCTCCTCCCTTGGACCCAGGAGTCTCACCCTGGTCTTGAACAAAGTGTGCCCTCTTGCCCAGCCTGGCTGCCCTCCTTCTCCCCAGGGTGGTTTCAGGGAGCAAAAACCCCGTGATCTCAGCTCCCGCCCCCAGGCTTGCCATGGCACAGCCAGCCCCAGCTGTTAGGGGGAGAGGAGGGGGGAGTCAGCCCTGCCTGTCCCTCCCAGGAGGACAAAAGCCGATTAAGGGCAGTGCCAAGCTCAGCGAGGGGCCTGAGCCACAGGACCTACTGTGTGGTGTTTCCACACCCGGCACCCTGTACCTGCCACTTAACCTTCCAGCCCATCCTGCCGTGTGTGACTGTCATCCTCACCTCACATATGGGAAACCAAAGCTCAGAGACACTTCACCTTTGTTATTTATTCCACGTGCTCCTTGCTTGGCCAGCTCTTTCTCACCCTTCAGGACTAAGTTTCTTATCTCCTCCAGGAGGCACTGTATAACTGCTCCTTCTCATCTAAGATGCGCCCCACCCCCACCGCTGCTTTCTGCCATCATATGAAAGTTGTTCTTCTGCCTAGAATTTTACATATTTGCAATTTTCCATTTGTTTGTTTATATGTTTGTAACAAGGTTTATCTCTCCCTTGGGGCAGAACCAGGCATCATGGAGCTGTGAAGCTTTTACAAGTGGAGGTTGGGCTCTTTTGGAAAAAGAATAGAAAATCACAAGTCCAAAATTAGGTATAGGGTCTTGGAAGGGGCCTGTGCAATGAGAGGTCCTTAGGCCTCGGTGTCATTTGCTTGGCTGTAGGTGAATCCTCCTCTGTGGCTCCGCCTCAGATGTTATCCCCATGGGGGTATGGGGTGGCCCCAGCATCCATCATGGGGCCTAGCAAATCTTTGAAGAAGGAAGGAAAGTGAAGAGTCAGAGTAGAGGCAAGAGGGGCTGGATGGGAATTTGGGAGAGGATCACCCCAGGACCGACAGACAGATGGATAGACAGAGGCCTCTGGAGGCAGCTCTAAGCTTGGTGGCTGTGACAACAGAACAATGGCCTAAGCCACTCACCAGGTGATCCTCAACGAGCTTGGTTTCCACATCTGGAAACGGTACTTGGCCATCCTGTCCACTGAGGGCTGGAAATGATCTTTGTAAGTAGGACCCCACAGAGGCATTTCTGCCTATGGTTTGCTTTGTGGTTCTCACTTGGCCCCACTGAGAGATGTGTTGGGTCATTTTTCCATGTAACATACTATAATATATAATTTACCATTTGCACTGTTTGCTTTCTGGGTCTCACACTAGATCAGGCCCTTGTATGTGCCTAGGCCAGCCTGGTATTTTTTGCATGGCTTCGGTTTCCCATTTTGTAAAGCAGCTGTCATTTATTTCCTGTCTATGGGGTAGGGCTCTTTATTGAAGATGAGGGCACAGGAGACCTGGACAGAACAAGAGACCTGCACAAAGCAGTGGGAAAGAGGCTGGATCCCAGGTGCTGCCCTTTGCCCTGTTCCAGACTTCTCCCTTGAGGGCTTGGCTGGGTGAAGTGGGGAGGATAGGATGTTGAGGTTGCCAGAAACTTGCCAAGAATCCGAGGCAGAGGGCACTGGGGCAGGGACAGGCCACGAGGGCCTCTAGCGAGGACTGGGGCAGAGGGAGGGCTGAGGGTCCTGCCGCCTGGGTACCAGCCCTTTGCCCTAAAGAGTCACAGGACAAGTGGACCTGGCCTGGATTTTGGTCCCTGGGGACTAAGCAGGGGAGAGAACGGAGGTAGGGAAGGAAGAGGGGGGAGAATGGAGGAAGGGCCAGGTCTGGGGCCTAGAAGGGGCAAAGCCTTTAGAAGGGGAGAGGCCTGGAGGCAGATGCAGGCGAGGGGGCAGTGACTGTGGCCCAGTCCCTGAGTGTGTCTGCATGAAAAAGCAAAAGCTGCTCTAAGACCACTGTGTGCCAGGCACTGCTCTCTCCCTGAGCTTTGTGTGAGGTAACTCGTTTCATCCTCCCCATAACCTGTGAGGTGGGGGCCATTGTCACCCCTTTTGGCAGATGAAAAAACTGAGATGTGGAGAGATGACATACCGCTCAGGGTCACCAAGCCAGCAAGGATGGTGCAGCTTCTCTGCTGTGTTTCTGTGTGTATCGGTGTTGCTCCTTCTCCCTGTCATGTATCAGCTCTGGGCTTTCTGAGTGGGCAGGTGTGAGTGTGTCTTCGAGGTTCACGTGGATGTACGTTCGCATGAAGGTATCTGTCATGCCTAGCGTTGGTCCCAGCCTGGGTTTGTGGGTGTCCACATTTTTTCTCAGTCTCTGTGTTTTTATGTTTCTCAGTATGTTTGTAGGCATGTTTGCATACAAGTGTCACTGCTTATGTGTGTTTCTCAACCTGTGAGTGTTTCTGTATCTCTATTTCTCTTGGCCTGTGAGATTGTGTGGGCATGTTTGTATGTATATGGATATATATCTTGTCTCTGTGTGCCCGCATGTGTGTGTGTGCATGTGTGTATGGTACCCATCACTTCCCATTTGCTCCAGCCGGAACCCAGGGCATCATCCTGGCCACCTCCTACTCCCATCCAATCCATCAGGAAATCCTGTTCCCCCTGCCCCATAGAAAGCACTGGGACCTCGCCCTTCTCCCACCTCCATTGCTCCCTCCTCTAGATGATAGTACCAACTGTTGCTGTGTGTCTGCTTTTGCCCCCTCCATGGCTTTTCCACATAGCAGCCAGAGGATCTTTCTAAAACTTAAATCTGGCCACATACTCCCAACCCTTCAATACTCTCTTGCTCTCAGGATAAAGCCCCAAATCCTGGACATGGCCCTGCAAACCAGGTCCCGTCTTGGCCCTCTGTGGGCTCTTCCCTACCCCCTCCCGCTCAGCTTCCTCCATGCTGTAAGGTACCACTTCCTTGGGCCTCACGGTTCTGCCTGGGCTGGCCTCTCTGCCCATGGTGTCCCTTTTGCCCCACAGTCAACCCTAGCTCATCTTTGGGCCCAATGTCACCTCCTTGGGAAGCCTACCTCTTATATTTTACCAGGATTCTCTCTTCAACACAGTTTGGCAGATGAGAAAACTCAGATAGTCAGATAATTATATCTGATTTGTGGGATATTTATTAATGTCTGTATCCCCAGCTCAGACATGAGTCTGTCCTCACCGATGAGAGTCCAGCCTGGCACGGGTATGGGTTTGTTGAATGTCTACTGAATGAATCTGTGTGACTGGAGAATTTCGGGTCCAGAATCAAGGTTGGAGCACACAGCAGTTTTGGTCTCACACACTTCCTGCCTTCAGGAGGCTGGGGGTGGCTACCTCCCTGCCCTCACTGGTCAGGTAAGAAAGCCTAAGTGCGCTCAGTCCCTGAGAACCTCAGTGTCGTCATCTGCGAAATGGGGTGATCATAGTAACAGTAGTGTCATCTGTTACTGGCAAGATGAAACTGATGAGTAGGATTGCTCCAGCCAGCCTAGATGCCCCTGGGGCAGGGGAGGGGTCTGATTCACTCAACAGAGGCCTGTACCAGGGTAGGGCCTCAGGAAATGACAGGAGAATCTAGGATCTTGGGGGATTGAGCCTTTGTGAGTAGGTAGGCTCATGGGTTTGTGAGTAGGACTGGCTCAGTCCATGCAGGGACCCCTAGCCAAGAGGATTCTAACTCCTCACAGCAA